GAGGATACTGGGAAGCTGGGGGCCAAGCAACCAGAGGGAGTTGGCAAAGAGCAGGGGGGGGAATGTCGGAAAAAGCTCAGCCCTGGGCTGTCCCCATTGGGGCAGAGAGTTTGGGAAACATGTCTGGGGGGAGATGGAGTATGAAAACCTAAGACCAGCTTCTGTCCTGCATTGCAGGATAGGCAGGAGATGGTCCCGGCAACTCTAACATGAGCAATAAGAAGGTCAAAGACCAAAAATACATTTAAAAAATGCCTGTCACCTAACGGTGACTTTTTAGCCAATACTGCCCTTGGCCAGCCTTGAGCTGATACCGATGCCCAGCCTCTCCAGGACCACCAGCCTGATCCTTGCACCCTTGTACCCAGTGTCTGGGGGGCATCAAAACGGGGACAACTGGGAAGCTGGGAGTGGATTTTAGGGGCAGTTACAAAGAAAGGAGGGAGGAAGATTCATCTGTGTCCTTTTCGTTGCCTGGGAGGGGCGAAAGGGAGGTGATTAACACCATTAAAAATATTGTGCCAAGTACTAAAGGTATGCACAGCACTTTAGGAGCCTAGGGCTGCGTGCAGCTTGCTTGGTGTCAGGCCAGCTCCAGGCACAAGGGTCTGCCTGGAGGAGTTACAGTCCTCAAAACCTCCCCAAAGCGGGGTCAGGCGGCCTGCTGTGTCCCTGAGGGGTATCCCCAAGGGGGCTGCCGTGGTTTTGGTGCTTAGGGGGGGTGTGCAGCCTCCCAGCTGAGGGCATCCAGCACCTCCGGGTGCAGTGGCAGGGGGAAGGTGGGCTCCCATGCGGGATGAGCGCTGGTAGGGAGGAGGTTTTGGGGCCAGAGAGGTGGAGTCTGAGGAAGGCAAGGCTTGGCGATAGACCAGTTTGGCATTGCAAAGTGGGATCTTTCCGGAGCACGTGCATGGTGTGGGTGCATCCACTGGCCCTGAAGGTGCTGCTTCCCTGGCCATCCGAGGAGCAGAATGGGGCATCTCTAGGGGCAGTGTTTGGTAAGTGCTTCAGCTGTCCAGGGCTTGCTGGTGAGGCGGCCGGGGGTGCTTGATGCGTACTGGGAGCCTGTGGGTTTTAGGGCATGCTGCTGTTTGAACCTGGTGCTTTCAGTGCTGTCGGTGTAGGTGCAGAGCGCTGCATTGATAGCACTCGTGTGGCTGCAAAAAACTTGACGTCGGGGCATCTTGGAGGATCTCACATCGGTGTGCAAGCTCCCCTCAGCCTTTGCTAGCCCGGTGTGGCTTGTGGTGGGGGTGAGGTTGAGGATGGTACATGCTATAACTGAAACAAATGGAGGCCCCACTGCATTCCTGACGTTTTAAGTGTTGGACTGACACAGCCCTCCCTCTGCTGTGTTCCCCTGGAGTTACCCAACAGTACAAAAAGGGCTGAAGAGATGTTAAGAGGGCGGCTTGTGCACCCTCCTGCCCCCAGATTGCCTCCGAGTCAAGGCTGGATGAGCATTTAATTATTCTTAAAAGCACCTGAGGATGGAGGTCCCCTGCCTCCTGGGCACTGCCCTTTGGTATTAAGTGGGCTTCGCAGAAAACGGGAGAAAGCCACACGTCTGTCTGAGCCAAGCAACCAGCACACCTCGTGGGAATGGACAGACGGAGGGATGCCTACAAAACGCTGTGGTGGGGTGCCTGGGTCCGAGGCGTGCAGGTATTGGTACCCACAGGATCGACGAGATGCTGGGGATCTACCAGGGTGGGATTCATCCCTCGGACTGCTGACACCACGGCCGTGCCCCTTGCCAGCCTATCCACCAGCACCGCCCTCCCTGGGAGTGCCAGCATTTATTTATTGTGCCAAAGATAACGCTTCGTTTACTCTTCAAGGAGCCTCTCTCCCCAGCGGCCTGGGGCGGGAGGGCTGGCGCCGGTGCCAGCTGTGCCACAGCCCTCTCCTGCTGCTGGGACAGCCCTGGGCTGGCTCGGGCAGGACTGAGCTTGCTTTGCCTTTCCCTGCCCGAAGCAAGGTGTTTCTCCAGTGTTCAGCCCCCTGCCCCGTAGCCTTGGAGGCATTGAATTAAAACAAAACCTCCCTCCCCCAAAAATGGGCTGTAATGTCTCCAGGGCGCAGTATATGTGCGTGCATGCATGCATGCTCACTCCTTCCTCCCACGTTCTCAGTTGCACCCTTCCCTTCAGTGCTGTCCTGGGCATTAGTGCTTTATTGCATTAGGAGTATTTGCAGTGGTTCCTTGCAATACCTCGGAGGAGAGCTGTATCTCAGGACTGGCCGGCCCCCTTCGCGCCCTGCGGCCAGGGTCCCCGGGGAGGCATCAGGTCAAGGGGGCTGTGCTGCAGGTGCTAACCCCCGACTCTAGCCGAGAGCGGCGGGCGAGATTATTTAAAGCAGGGTGCGATTAGACCTCCCCCGGCCACATGCGGATGCTCTGGAGTGGTGATGCCGAGGGGCTGGGACCCAGCACTGGGTATTCCAACCTCGGGCTGGCTGAGGTTGGGTCGCTTCTCGCCGTGCAGATGCCACAGTGCGTGGAAAGCTGCGGCGTGGGGATGTAGCGATGCAATGTCCCAGCTCCCAGCAGGGATTTGGCCCTGTCTCCAGGAGGAGAGGGTGCGTCTGGTCCTCTGCATCCTCCTGGGCCGGGTGGATGCACCAAGTCATTCCTGTGATGTAACCTTGTCCAGTGTTACGATGATGTATAAAGTTTTGTACATACGAGATTCAGAGCTTTTTAACTTTTAATATTTATTAATTCTGTTGGGTTCTCTTTTTTTTTTTTTTTTTGAACTCTAACATAATGTAAAAAAAAAATCCACATCAAAATCTCTTTCTGTTGATTTATTTGGGGGATGGGTGCGTGAGGGGGGAAAATACGAGTGTGACCTGTGTGTGGTTGAAATGGATTTCACACAGCGAGCCACCACCTCTTTATCTTATTTCAACCCAGCGACTCCTCTTTATCAGCCAGAGTTTCACATAGCTGTTTCGAGATGATTCCCCCCCCCTTAAATAAGACGAAGACTCAGCAAAACCCATGGACGTATAAATTACAAGCACCCTGCAATGGCTGTAATAACATTTCACGACACCCAGCTGCTGGGCTTCACTCTTGCAAGGCTTGTTTCTAGCTGCGGTTGGCAGCAGCTTTATGGCACAACGTGCTTGTTCCCAGGGTGCAGGATAATGTCGGGATCATTGGACCGGCCATCCCTGCTGCTGCAGAGGGCTGTGGGCGTGGGATGGCTGGTGATCTCCTGGGGATCCTCCTAGGACAAAACCCACCGTAGGGTTTATCGTGCTGCAGGTCTGCAGTGACAAGCTCCTCTGGATGCATGGTTCCGGAGGGCACGATGCTGAGTTACAGGGTCGTGGGGCTGAGTCCGACCCTGCTGCTGCCTGTCTCCATTAGCTGCTTTCTCACTTGCCTTGCCACCCCTCTCACGTTGCAGTACCCTAAGTCAATTGAACTGACTGTGAAAAGCACATTTCTGACCCCGCTGGGACATGGCTTTAGTGCCATACGCCCGCTCCGGCTGTGCCTGCTACTGTTGACACAGCAGGAGGAAAAACCTGCATCTATATACGTATACACACACATAAATATATAGCTTAGCCATTACAAAATAAATAAAGATGTGTTGACGGTTCAGGCCAAAAAGAGCCCCTGAGCTTGCACTGACAACTGATGCCATGGTCAGATAATAAATAAAGAGTGATGAAACCGGGGCAGGGCTGAAGCCGCAGAACAAACGGCACCGTGGGCAGTGATGCCCAACGTTGGGGTGTGTTTCAGCAGCCACCCCTCTCCCCTATGCACAGCGGGGAAGAGCAATGCCAAACACCGGCTACCACTGCTGCTCCTGGGCAAGGTTTGGGCAAGGGTTTTTAGGCAACCCCTAATGCAAGGCTTGGTGCTGCCTTGGTCGCCCCAGCTTGCAGACGCTCCGCTCTGTCCCCAAAGCAGAAGCACGGTGCTGGGTGAAGGGTGTCCTCTACGCTCAGGGTTGCTCAGTGGGTGCACCGCCTAGCCCCATCACTGGTGGCTGCGGCTCCTTGGCTGCAGCGGCAATGAGCAGGGGCAGAAGTGGGTCTCCAGCTCAGGCTGTGTCCCTTGTGCTCGGGCAGAGCCCGTCCTCCTGCAGCTCAGGGGCACGCGGTGGCAGAGAGGTGCCGGCAGAGGTGCTTGATGAAGTCTGCTTGGGACTGTGGCAGGACGCGGTTAATGATGGATGTGGGGATCCAGCCCTTTGGGAGAGAAAACAGCCTGAATTTGGTCCCGCTGGGTCAAAGACAGTTGGGGTGCCAATCCTGGGAGGAAGGTACATTTGCATGCCAGGATGCGTACCCCTTGTTGTCCCACCCCAAATAACACGGCGGCACTTGCCTTCAGGTCCATGCTGAGGAGCCAGGTGAAGCGGGTACAGCCAGGGTCCCCCGCCAGCGGCTGCAGGACGATGCAGCTCAGCCGGGACTCAGCCCTGTGGTGGGCAAGAGAGCGGGCAGTTAAGGGTCACCCCCAAGGGGAAAAACAGGGGTAAGGAGATCCCAGAGCAAAGCAACAGGGAGGTAGCTCCTGGCATGCCTCCCTTGCCATGCCCGGTGCAAACGTTCATGGCTACAGCTGTGGTCTCCCCCCACAGGGACACGATACCCTGTGACAGTCACTTTGGGGGGGCTGTACCTGATGCACCCTTCCTGCAAGGGCAGCGGCTCAACATGAGTGGCGGTGCCCACCAGGTAGATGGCTGTCTCCCTCCTCCCGCGGTGCCGCACGCTGACGAAGTCCCGCTGGCCCACCAGGTTGCCCGGGCTGGGAGCGGTGACTTCGTGTGTCACCAGTGTGTCCGTCCCGATGCGCTGCAGCACCTACGAGAGCAAGGAGTGCCCTGGGGATTAGGCTCCTTGTGGCTGCCCCTCCAGGGACATCCCCACCACCCCCTTACTCCTGGCCAGGGGACGTTAGGCCACCTTGGGGACAGTAGTGGGGGGTGGCAGCATGAGCAGAAGCAGCAGCAAGGCGGAGGCTTGGGACTGGCACCTGGTGATAATTAAATCCCAATCCCCTGCAGGCTATTAAGGGGGAAAGGGGTGATTTTTGCGGCCTGTTTTATCTGGGACAGGACTCTCTCTATGCTATTTCTTTTTCTGAAGGGACAGGGAAGTGGTAGCAATACATAAGCAGAGGCTGGGTAGCATCTGAGCCAGCCCAGGTGGGCTAGGGGAGGCTTTCTGAGGCTGGCAGCTTGCTTAGGGATATGCTGCGATTTGGGAGCTGAGAAATAAGGCAAATACTCAAAAGAAGCCCAGGACAACACATAAGCTTCCTGGGGGTGCCCCCTGCAGCATGATGTATTTGGTTTAGCCTCTTTTTTTTGAGCTGTCTGATTCCTCTGAACAGTTTCTCCCTGATATTAAAGTCTGAGCAATGTCAGAGCCCCCCAGCGTGGAAAAACCTCTGTGAACAGGCACAGTGTGGAAAAGAGAGCTTGGAAATGACATGTTTCTCAGTGCCATGCCAGTAAAGCACATCTTCTCTCCCTGGGGTGATATCCTGCTCTTGCAGGAGCGCAGAATTAGCTTTAATCTTTCAGCAATCTTAAAAGCCTTGATAAATATGATTTTTTGGATGCTAGCAACCCTGGCGATGCAAAGTCTCGGACAGTCTGCCTGCGATGTCATCACTTGCCGCCTGAGGTACATCCCTCCCCACCTTACCTTCACCTGGCTGAGGGTCGGGTTCCACTGGGGCATCTGCTCGATCCTCTCAAAGAGCTCCTGGTGCAGCCGCGCCACCGGCACAGCCAGGACCACCTCTGCCCGAAACACCTTGCCCAGCCCAGGGAGGGCGGCGCTGTACACGGCGGCCCCGGCGTCCTGGGAGAGCAGAGAGCCTGTATTACCCCCTCACCTAAAAACACCCCGAGAGGCACTGGCTATGCACTGATATGCCTTGCTAATAAATCATCCCAGTCCTCTTTTCAATCACCATTTGTTTTACAGTCGAAAGCTATTATATCTAAATCATGCCACTTTGATTGCTTTTTTTTTTATTTTAAGTTCCTTTCTAGATAAATTAAACAATTCAGCAAACAGCTTAATGAACAAACACTGGAAATAACAACAAAGTCGCAATCTGTTGGGTTTTTCTGCAGAAATGCTCCTGGCTTTCCCTGGGAACATGATTATCTGAGTTTCCCCTTCCAAGCTTTTTCCTGCTGTCTATTTACTTTGCAGATTTGCTTGTGAATGTGCTTAACGGAGGCTGGCTTGGAAACCCTCTTTGCCGTGCATGCTTTTGCATGGCATGCCTCCTGTGCCCATGGTTTCCCTTCAAGCAGGAGGAATAAGAGAAGCAAATCTTCCCTCCCCAGACTCATTTCTCCTCCTGAAAGCTTTTCTGGCATGAAGCAGTAAAGGCAAGAGGCGGCCGGGCTTTACCAGCATCGTTTCTGCCTGCCAGCTGGTGTGCTGCTGCAGGATGCTCAGCGCTCGCTGCAGGGCCGTTTCTCCCTGGGTGATGTAGAAGAGGTCCACGCTGGAGAACTGGCTGGGGCTGACATCTCCAGCAGGCTCGAGGCAGGCGGCTGCAGGAGCAAGGCAGAG